AACACATGACTGCTAAGCTCCCTGGATTTGCTTACTCCATATTTGCAAAACTTATGCAGTCACACATTCACTCACCTTCACTAAATGAGTCCCACTTCCTTCTGCCTTTTGATTTAAAAAAAATGTAGAAGTTATGTTTCATTTAGAAGTGAGTAAATTTCTCAAATATTTGAAGGAAATTTATCTCTGAGCCATGGGACATAGCTTACACAGCTCTCTCAAAATAAGCTAAGGACAGAAGCTCTTGCTATGGTGATGGGCTAAAACAGAACTGCATCTTGGATTCACACCTTTCAAAAGAGGGATGCCTTGACAATGTAACCCACCCATCTTGCCACAATTTGAGACTCAACTGGGCATAGGATGCATACAACATTAGAAATCTTTCATTCTACCCTCCAGATGCTGTAGAAAATCACATCACAGACTCTCACTTTTTCTTCTCTACCTGAATTTATTAATGACTCCTGGTGACTCTGCTAATATTGACCTTTAGCTTATGAAGTATTTTACTACTCTGGTCTCCGTACTTTATTGCTCTGACAGATTTCTTCAGCAGAAATCATCTTTTCTTATCCTTTATTTACCCAGTCTAAGCCAAACAAATCTTTTAAGTGTTCCTTGATATGATAAGGCATCCATTTGGCAGATAATCTCAATCACTTTTCTGTACACCTCATTCTCTGAATAAACCAGCTGTAAAAACTGACAGCCTGTCATGCAGATTTCTGACCACGGCTGCCATGAGGGCCAGCCATGAGGAATTATCTCCTTTACTCTGTAGTAAGTACCTGCATGTTCCTGACTGTAAAACCCATATACCACTCTCCCAGTGCTCATTTACATGGCACTTATATCCCCATCCCTTTTTTTAAGATCAACTGCTCCTTTTTTCTTTTTTCCCCAATTATTATCGTTTTTGCCTGTCCTCATTTATTTTCTGAATATTATGTAAGCTACAGATTTTAGATAAACAAGCAACTACGCAATAGACTTACAAATATGTATTTACAAAGGTTTTTGTGTCCTCAAGGAACAAAAGAGGCTGCTCCATTCTCAAGCAAAAGAACGCCTACACAAAGTATAAAGACAGTTGTTTATCACACCCTCCCTGTCGGCTTTCTTGGTCAAAAGGTTATTTCTAAATCTCCCACTGATCTGTACGATGGTTTTGATTAAACATCTGTCTTGTCTCATTCTGCTTCCTTATTTGTGAAATGGAGTTAAAAATATAATAATAAACAGATTGGTTGAAATGCATCGATAAAATTGAGACACTTTTTAAAACTCTGAGTGGTCAGATTTTGCTAGGATAGAGTATGTGTCTTGTACTTTACACCACTGCACAAATTCACTTCTACCATTTCAAAGGAGCAGTACAAACACACTCATTTTGTTCACTTTCAGAATCAGTACACTTTATGAGCTAAAATATTCATTGTAATATCTTGCTATGATTCCAGATTTGCAACCTAAAATATGTTCAACTCATGACAACAAAAACCTCAATTTCACCATTCATGGTGGTGGTATTTATCACTGGAGTCTGAGTCACATAAGTCAGAAGGCAAGTTATTTATAGGACAGTCTTAAGATTTTGGGATTTACATCTCTAAAATTCTTCTCTCTTCATTGAAAAGTTCTCTGAACATACTAGCAGAGAGAAAAAGAACACTATGTGAGAACCAAACCCCCATCTCCCTTGTTTTGAACAGTTTGTGGAAACAAACTAGATAACATATCAGGAAAATTGTATTTAAAAGGGGGTAAAAACCCCAAATCCACACCCCCCCAACAAAAAAACATCTCGTATAGCTCTCATATAACATGTACTAAAGAAACCCATGCAGTTTCTTCCCAGAGGCTTACTCTAGATCTAAATTTAACCTTTCCACCTTCATTAGCAATAATGAAGCAGCTTGATTTCTCAGTGTCATTAATAAGCATGAGCTCAAGTCTCATTTCTAAGCCAGACATATCAGGAGATTACTGCTGGCTGTTTAACAAGCTGTACTTCATCCACTTACAAATGTTGAATCAAATTGGTTTTAAAAATGCCTTCCATGGAACACAGAAAATAATATATCAAAAAGGAAGCCTCAATCACCTGCTACTCCTTTTCCAAAGCACAAAAGTAGTCATTTAAAGTCTAATGTTAGCCTGACTTCCTTCTGAGAGCAGTTTTCCCTCTTGGAGTAATAGCCCACTCACATTTTGTTGCTGCCAAGCCCTTGGGATTTACCTTGTTTTGTGTACTTGTAAGGAGGTCTCATCTCAGCTGCCCCTGCAGGACCACCTACCTTTAGCCATTACAGTTTGGGATGTAATCCAACACTTTATCCCCTGGAATTTACAACTATGATAGTTCTTCAGGCACAGACCATTTCTGTCAGTACTAATTCTGGCCCTGAGACAGCATAGATGTTAAGCCCTGGAAAACTGTGCCTTCCAGGGGGAATATTCCTTCTCCACTCCCACCCACTCCCTTTGCAGCGCATGATTATTCAATCTTACTCCATCAGAAAGAAATACAGGAGAACGTCACACATCCTCGGAAAACCCACACCAAGTGCAATTACACAAAACATTACCTTGAGAAATTTAAAGAAAATATGGCATAGTCTCTGACAATTTCCCAGATTGTAAGTATTGAGTTCCTAGAAATAAAAAACATGTAAAGAGGAGAACATGAAGTTAGTGGTCACAGTTTTGTGAATAGTCTACATTCACTCACTCTTCTAGAACCCCTTGAAGTATTAGAAAGACTAAAAATGAACATGAAGATCTTACTCATACAAGTCTTTGTAACATTGTATTTTTATTTAAAGTACCATTCACAGGCTATTTTCCCCACTGTCCAATCAATAAGGGGGTTACCATGGGTTGCAATCTTTTAATAAATCACTTTTCTTTAGGTTACTTCCTGGAACGGCTCTGAGGTTGCACCAGTGGGTCACCACATTCTAAAGGGCTCTTTTTGACTATTTCATTACTGCTGGAATTACTCCATTTCATTGTAACCTCAATTGTACACGATTGCACTTTATAGCAAGAACACAAATCTTACTTTTGTCAGCTCTCAGCCCCCCAGGCACAAAGCAGATATCAGAGGTGTGGCAGACTTTCATATTTTCTTTTACAATTAAAACACTCAATATGCACCCAAGGGTCCCACAACCACAGGACACTAAACCAACACAGTATTCTACATATGAAACAAGGAATTGGGGTCTTATAAATGGAAGGAATGAAACAGGGTGTTGGAGCAGCATGGGACGTGGATTAAAATTGTTAGTAAAACAAACTGTAAAAATTTCTGGCAAAAATTCAAACAGTAACAGCTGTAAAGGCACCAACACAGACAGCAAGAGCTGTTGGCAGACACACAGCAGGCTGTAACAGTTGTTAGCACACACACAGAAAAGAAGCACCAACTTTTTACAAAATACACAAAACAACATGTACAACAATCAAACTCAAAATTCCAAGACCAAAACCAATAGTAGAACTCATCAGACTCTTTTGGGGATTCTAACCCCTTTGCATTTCTTTCAGGGATTCCAGCCTTTTTTTTCAGGGACTTTAACCCCTCTATATCTCTTTAGGGGAATCCTATGCCACTGTAACATTATCACATAGACACCAGAACTAATTTACCTTGTATGACCTCATGGTTATTAGGCAGTTCTTTTGCACTGCACTTTCACCTCCCCAATTCAGGGGTCGTCAGGGGTCTTTGATGAAAGGCTTCCAGGGTCTTCTTCTCATCTGAATTTTTCAACTTTGCCCTTGGAGCATGTGCAGTTACAGTGTTCTTTGGTCTGTCTTTGGTCTTAACCAGCCTAAATTCTTTGATTTGTGGCTAACTGGATTTGCACTTATCAATTTTTCATTAGCACTATACTTCTCTATCTCTAAAGCTATCCACTTGGCAAGGTTTTTTTCTTTTTTTGTCTAATCAGCATTAAGCAAGTAGTGAACCATATATTAACCATTGTATTGTACAAAAAGTTGTGTTTTCAGGTTACATAGGTATAAAGAGCTGAGTCAGGTTATACAGGTATCAGGTTATATTGACATATAAAAAGACATTATTTAGGTTATATTGATATCAGGTTACATAGATATATTGGGTTATATTGATATATAAAAAGTCATGATTTAGGTTACATTGGTATCTTATAACTCAAGCTATATAAGCACCTTGTAACTTTGATCTAAGTTATATAGGCATCACTTAATCCCTAAATTTTTGAGGAAAACCAAGGTGAAAGCCACTCAGTGGGCCGGGATCCTCCCTCCAGGAACACCCAAGGAGCAGCCAAGGGTGTTTGGGTGCCTCTTTGGGGACATGGGATAACTGCAGTAGCTGAGGGGATGACCCAGAATTCAAGACTAAGAACAAACAAAAACTAAGGCCTCCCCACACCTCAGTAATGCTGCTGTTTTGGGGTGCTGAGGACACTGGGGCTGTTTTTCATACCCTTTTCCCCCACATTTTCTGCACTTGCTGGTTGTCACCTTCTCAGCCCCAGCATGTGCGGGTGCAACAGAAGGGGTCAGGTTGGAAAGGACCATAGGGCGCATCTGGTTCTGCGGTTCTGCCTCCGTGCTCAGGCAGGGTCATCCCGGAGCACCGGGAGCAGCACGGAACACCGGGGCAGTACGGGGATGGCGCCGCCGCCTCACGGGGCTCCCGCCCCGCCGCCGCCCCACACTATGAGGCAGCGCGCGCGCGACGTCAGACGCCGCAGCCAACGGCGGCCTCTGCTTAACTGTGGGCTGGGAGGCTCGTTGCATATTCACGAGGTGGGCCCCGTGTCTGCGCTGACGTTGCGCCGCCGCAGCCAATAGCAGCCTGTGCCTCCGGGTCATGAATATTCATATCTGCATATTCATAGCCACGCACGTTGGGCGCTGCAGCGGCTGCGGCCGGGGGCGGGCCCGGCCCCGCTTCCCTCACGGCCCGTGTGCCTGCGGAGCCGCGCCGGCGGCGGGAGGCGGAGCCGGCCCGCCCCTATTTATGCCGAGCCCTGCCGGGAGCGGCGCCGTAAGTGTGGGGCGGAAGCGCCCGGCACCTCCTTCCTCCCGCCCGGGTGCAGGCGACGAGGATGAGCCAAAGAGACACCCTAGTGCATCTCTTCGCCGGCGGGTAGGTGAAGCCCCGGGAGCTGCTCCTGCACTTGTCCGGGTCTGGCCCCGCTCCCGTGCCCGCCGCTGGCCGGCCTGGGCGCGGGGCGGCCTGGAACGGCTGCCTGGGGACATCTCGGTGGGGCTGCCCCGCTGCTCCGTGCCCGAGGGGCCGCGGGGAGCAGGGAGGGGCCGCGCTCTGCCTCCCGCCCCGTGCCCCGAGGCCTTTCCGGGCCCGCAGCTGCCTCGGGCCCGGCCCCGCGTGTTGCGTTGTGTCACGGGTGGAGCGCGGGCCCGTGGGGAGGCGGGGGTGGAGGCTTCCCGTAAAAGCACCCCTCGGGTTTGGCCCTTATCTGTTTTGGTGGGGATGCGCGCAGGGCCCGCCGTGCCTGGGCTCCCCGCTGCCGGGAGGCTGCCGGGACTGGCCTGGCGGGCGGGCAGTGCCCGCCGGGCACGCTCGGCCGGGGCCGCTGTGTCCGCGCCATGCGTGCTGCGCTTCCTGCTGCGGCGTGGGCACACGCAGCTCCCCAGCCACAAAGGCAGAAGAAATGGGAGGGAAGAATGCACTCAGAAATAAAAGGGTTTAGCCTTAGTTAGGTTTGAGGTAACTTCTGTGCCTTCACAGCTATTAATGAAGTTTCATAATGTATGTTTTTAGGTTTCAGAATGTTTGGGCTGTATTTCTGAAGCCTGTAGTTCTTCCAGGGGCAGGGAGGGAAGAAGGGCACCCAGCTTAAAAGGGAAAGCTGGCGGCCCTGCTGGGCTTGGTTGTAATAGTGTATTTGGATAGTGAGCATGACTGTAGAGAAGTGATAGAGGACACACCTTGCATCCCATGAGAGAGCTTGAAGCTGTGCTTTCCTTTTGTGGTCCTCGTGGACAAAAATTAGCTTGCTGCTTCTGGCCTGAGGTGTTTGAGGTAGAAGAATAGTGTATTGATTCTGAGCAAGTCTGAGTGACTTGGATGCTTGACAGTACTTTCTCTGCTTCTGGCACACTTTGAAGTATTGTACACCTGATCTAGTTCCTGTGTGGGAGCTTTATCGTCCCCTTGATTTCTTGCACCCTGTTTAAGAGGAGAGTGGTTATGCAGCAGGAGGCCCAAGATGTAGTAGTGTGTACTGTTTTCTGCAGATTTTGCATCCTTGTAAGCATTTAGAAAAACAACAGCAGGAGCTCAAGAAAGATCAGGAGCTGCTGAAGAGAGTCCAGTAGAGGGGTACAAATATGAGGAGGAGTCTGGAGCATCTGTCAGTGTTATGAGAACAGACTGGGGGAGTTGGGCTTGTTTTCTGGTTCAGTCTGGAGAAGAGACTGAGAGGGGATATTATTAATGCATATTAATATCTCCAAGAGGTGCCAAGAGAGTGGTGCCAGGCTTTTTTCAGTGATGCCCAGCAACAAGACAATGACAAGAGACCATAAACTAAAACACAAGAAGTTTCACCTCAACATGAGCAAGAACTTATTTATATTGGGTGGCAGAGGGTGACAGAGTACTGGAACAGGCTGCCCAGGGTGGTTGTGGGGTTTCCTTCTCTGGAGATATTCCAAACCCACCTGGACATATTCCTGTGTTACCTACTCCAGGTGACCTTAGCTTGGCAGGAACACCAGCCAATATGACCTGCAGAGGTTCCTAAGGATTCTGAGAGTGGTCCCTGATTATAGACCTTCAGCTTGACAGCTCTGCACAGGGGAGGTTACTGAGCACAACTGTGCTGCTCTATTGTTATGTCAGAAACAGGTTTATGAACATGAAACTTGAGAGCAGATGAGAATTGCTCAGTTTGCTCGTTCTTATTTATTGCTGAGCAGTCTGGTCGATGGGTATGTGCTGGCCAACTGGGTCAGGGGTTGTGCTGTGAGGAAGAGGCTGAGTATGAGCCACACATTTCCTATAACCTTAGTTCAGCCAAGTTAACACTGTGTATTTGGTCACATTTTGCAGTAGAGAAGTTTACTGGGGTTATCTCATGACTTTGCAAGTGTAGTGCACTGCAGATCACTTGAGTGATCTTTAGTTTTCAGTGAAACTCAAAAGGAAAGAAGCTTTGTAGCTTTGTTTGCCCTAAATTGCATCAGAACCTCTATGGAAACAACATGACTATCTCTATCTGCTGGTGCTTTTTTTCTCTTTTTTTTTAAAATATTCAAGTGCATTCTTCAGTTCTTGCTTTCTGTAATGAAACTTTGACAGATGACATTGCTGTTTAGTAATATAAAGAGGACTATCCTGGGATGTCTCTGTAGCTGCCTAGGCTGTATGGAGTTTTTTGTATATCTTCTCTTTTACCCCCCACTTAGTCAAATAGCTGTTGTCACTATAGACATTATGTTGGTAGTAGAAACTCAGGTGCTTTTACTCTAAACCAAGGATGCAGTTGAACATTCTTAATTCTTAAATTAAAAAGTCATGTAATTGAAATGTAGGATGTAGATCAACATTTTTAATACAAGTAGTAAGTTATGGCTGTCAGACTCATTTTAAAAAGTAGTAGAAAACCTTAGTGTTTTGCTTTATAGGAAATATTAATATGTTTTGCATATACTGCCTTGCAACCATAGAGTGAAAATTCAGGTGTTGGCTACAAAAATACTGTTCAGATTTTCATTATTTATTCTTCATTACCAGAAAGCTTATGACAGTAATTGTGTATCATATAAACTTCAATCAGAGCAGTGAATTTGTGTGCATGTTGTTTCCTCAGCAGAAGGAGGGGTTTGGGTTAGGAGGTGGACAGCTGCTTTTCTGACTTCACACTTGGATAGTCTCAGGTTTGCTTCTTTTTTTCACTCTTGGCATTTCCTGCAGAAATTTGGCTGTTTTCTAATTTAATGTGTGAGGAAGTAGAGGGAGGAGCTTCTTTATTTATCTTGATCATAGAAGTGTCTCAGTTGGTCTGTAATGTAATCATACTCTGTCTGAGGCTCTTAGCAAATCCCTACAGTGGCTAAAACGGTGAAGGTGCAGAAAATGTATTTAACCTAAGTGTTTGAGTTCTCAGCAAGATCAGAAAGGTACTGCTGAAACGTATGAAGTAAAGGTAAGAGATTTCTGATTTCAGAAGGTTGTTAATAATGTGTAGCAGGTATTGTGATGATGGGGGCTTTTTCAGGAAGGAGCCTCTTGAGCCATAACTGAGTAGCCAAGCACTCAGCTCCTCTCTGCCCTAAAACACATTTGTGGCATAACCATGGATGTATTTCAGAACAAGTGAGAAGGAGTTTAGTGCTTTTCTGTCCAAACTTGAGATTATCTTTATATTCAGATCCAGTTTTGTGTGAAATAAGGCAGTGTTTGTTTAAAGCTTGGGGTTTGCTCCATGGGGTTACTAAATTGCGTGAAAATTGCTGTCAGTACTTGAGAAACTATGCCACTGGTACTTCTCTCATTTCTTTCTAGATGCTTTGAGCTGTTTTTGCTTAATACAAATGTTATTGTAAATATTGATTTACCCATCTCTTGATAAAAGCTACACGGTTCATTTTGATGTTTGTTTTGGGTAATGGAACCCAGTGATGCTTGATCCCCTGGTGGTGTTTTTCCTGTTTTCACTTGTGAGCTTCTATGTGGCGGCACATTGGGGGATTTTACTTTTACACTGTTCATTAGACATCACGAGTTTGATTAGTATTTGTAGTTTATGGATGTGAGCTTAACTTGCACTTTAAGTTCCAACAAAGACTGGAACTCTATTGGTGAGTAGAGTGATTAAGGATTTGTGGCTGCTAGTACTCTTGTTGAACAGTATTATACAGGGAAAAACTGAAAATTCGGGATTAATGAATGCTGTTTCTGAAAGCTGTACTTGCTAAAGCCCTTCTCTATTCTCTGAAGACTGATAATATAAATGTAATATCCAAAGCTGCAACTTTGTTAATGTGAAAGTTACTCTGGTTGTAAGACCTGCATAAAACTACTGATAGACTCAGGACCTGAATTTGCAGTAACTGATGAAGAGAGGAAAAAGTTCTGTTCTGTTTGTAAATGGCTTGGATTTATTTTTTTTGACAGAATTTTGAGCTCAGTTTACATGCTGTTTTATTTGAGAGCCAGTGTTTGTATGGAACTTTCATTTTTGTACAGGAAAGATAAGTAGCTGTTAAAATACATTAATTAATGTAGACCAAAGATCAAGGTCAAGATTTATCTTTAAGTCTTTGAGGCTGTGGTTACAAACGTACTGTGAAAGGTGAATCTGAAACTAGCACTAGGCAACCATGGCTTTTATTTCATAAAATACACCATTATCTCAAGGAATTAAAAAAATGTGCACTGACAGTGTTAATTCAAAGTCAGGCTACACTGGCATTTGGAATATCAGTCTGCCTTAGAGCATTTCTGGACAGTCCAGTGGCTGAATTTGAGACCCTCATCCATGCTGGAGCTGTCTCTGTTGGTACTTGCAGGGCTGAAAGGTCCCAGTAGAAGATGCTCAACTGCTCTGGACAAGGGCAGTGGCTCCTTAGCAGATACCTTAACCTTGCAATAATAAGAGGGAAGTTTTCCTCTTAATTCCTCTTATGTCTGGAAGAACCTGGGATCCGAGTGCCAAACAGGTTTAGGTTTTTGAAGCATGTATTTTTTTCCTTGGGGTGTCACACAAATAATGCAGGTGTCTGAGGAACATGGTTGTCAGAGCTGTACCTGTTGAACATTTAGCAGAATTTAAAGCCCAGTAGTTCCAGGCTTATTTCTGTTGAACCAGTGAGATGATGGTCTTCTAAAAAACCAGTTCGGATCAAATTAAATGTTTTGTGGGTAGCTGGGGCTTCTTTTGTTGCGCTTTTTTTTCCTTTCCAATATATGCTTTCTAGAGGAGCAATGTTCTTAGTTTAGGAGACCATTGCCATCTTCCTAGACTCTTCAGTCCAAGAAATGTCAAGTAGACGACTGTTCTTAGTTTGTTTTTCTTTTAGGTTTGTTGTGATCCTGCACATAACTACATCTTGTGATGTCCATGTCTCTTGTTCCACTGAGTGTGACGTCTCTTAAATTGTACCAGAAGGCTCAAGTTGAAATTTTAATTCTCTAGCTTGACTGTATTAATAGTGGGATTTTAGTCTTCCTTTTTTAACCTATGTGTATAATTTTGTGAATTTACCTACTGATCTCTGCTTTTCTGTCTTTCAAATTACTTGGAGCCTACAGGTGGATTCTCATGCCCTTTTATGATCAAGGTACTTTTGCTGAAAGTCAGCTTTGCAAGCTTGTTTAATACTCACGTGCTAAAGCTGAAGAAGGCTTGTAGTACACAATGATTAGAGGCAAATATCACATTTAGGATAGAGACGATGGGCAAGTGGTCTTCTGAATAGCATTCACTGGAAACTGCAGTAAGCATTCAGACATAGGAATGTCTCAGGATTTGCCATTCTTCACTTCCCATTTATACTGTGTCAGCAGGAGTGTGTTCACCTACTTATTCTAGCAGGTGAAATTCATCTAATCCTGGGGAAAAAGTTACACATTAGTAAATGTTCCTACAAGTCACACTTGTTGGGGCCTGGTGCATGCATGACTGGAGAAACTCAAGCCCAGAGTGGTTTTAGGTGGTAGTAATTTCTGAAGTAGTTTACAAAATCACACCTGCATTTTTGAGAAGAAAACTCCTATTTTTCAAACTGTTAAGAAATGTTTTTCTGAAGTGTTCTAATTCCTAATTTGTGTTAAACCACAAACTAAAAGTCTTCCCCTTAATTTGAACCAGTAGGAGGGGAGCAGGAAAGGTGGCAGCAATCTGCTGGCAATTTATAGAGCACTTGTTGTAGGCTGGAGCTGGTGGCTGGCTGTTTTTGACCTGCCAGGACTCGAGCACAAAAACGTTGCTGTCTCTGGTGGTATTCCCAGTAGTGTGTTAAATAAGCAAGGCTGGAAATACATTTCTAAGTAAAATACACTGTCCTTGATGCTGTAACAGAACAGCTGCTGTGCTTCTTAGAAGTTGCTTATTTGTACAGAGTGCATATTTTTAATTGTTTCTCTTCTTTGTTTACCCACAAGCTCTGTTTATTGACAGTTTTTCATAAACAGATTTTTGTCAAAACTTGGGGTGTTTATTTTAAAGGTCAAGTGAAGTAGACAAGTCAGGATAGTTACTGGATATGCCTTTGTTTAGAAGTTTAATTAAAACTCAGTGGATCTTGTGACCCTTGAGAAAGTCCTGGTTCCTCAACATATCAAGACACTTCTTTCACTCCTTCAGTTTCAGATGTTGTCTCTGTTATATAGGGCTTTTTGAAGGCTGGGAAAGTGATCTGTTACTTTGACAGAAGTAGAAATTGGGGATTTTGCCAAGACTCACATTACAGAACCACACAGCACTGTAAAACTTCTTTGCTTTCTTCAGCTGCAAGAAGAAATTTGAGCAATCTTGAAGATCGGGGACTGAGAAGAAGTTTAATTAATCAAATTCCACTAGTTAGTGGAAAATATTATTGGGTTCAGTGGAGACATCTTTAATTGTTTAAGAAAAGCCTAACCAAAGAAACACAACACCAAGAAACTGCCAAGGGTGCTGATTATTTGAAATTACTTGAATGGCAGAATGTGGTGCAGGAAAAGGCTCTTAAAGGGAGGCAGGTGAATCTGCTGCTTCTTCAGGATGCATGTGAGTGTGATGCTGGCTGTCACTGACCAGTGACAAGACCAGCAAGCACAGAGTAGCTGTGTATGAGCCCTCTTCCCCAGTAATCCACTGCTGAGTGGAGGCTGGCTGCCCATCCACCCTGGATTCTGCTGGAAGTGCTGCCGTCAGGCATCGCTTGTGATTTGGGTGTGGTGCAGGGGAGCATGCAGGGCACGAACTCCAGGTCTCCAGGTCAGTGTTAATCTTCAACTTCAGATACTTTTTCTGCTCTGATGTAGCGGGAGGGGGAGTGGTTAGAGGGGGTCAATTAAGGGCTCCAAACTCCAAGCCCTATTCAAGAATGCAGGTCAAGTTTTTTTGCTACTTCCATGGCATTTAGCTAATTAAAATAAATCATACCTTGTGGTTGCTCTTGTGATTACTGTTGCTTGAAAATAAGTTCTTGTGTAACCTGTCTAAAATCAAATGCAGAAAAACTTTCAAGAGAGTAAGCTGGTTGCAGGAAAGGAAGTAAACTCTAAAGCCAACTTCCTTCATTGCCTGCACAGGCATGTTACCATGGAGTGGGGTCTGGCTTGAACTGCAGGAAAAACAGACAGCTTTCTGTCTGTCTCAGAACTTTAGAGCTTCAGGTCAAATTGTTTTGAGAGCTGACCTACCTGTGCTTCTCATGTGCTGTTGCTGTCTTGAACCTTCACATTACAGGCTCTTACTGTTTCCAGCCCTGGCTAAAATAAATACTAGCATATCTACTCTCTTTCTACAACTTATAATTTTAAAATAAGTCTATTTGTAGCTTACTGTTAGAAGTAAGTGAATTGCTTATGCAGAGCAGGCTGCTCTAATGTCTGTGTCAGGCTGTAACTGTATGTGTGCAGCACGCACTGAAAAACTGTCTTTCATCTTCCTGTGATAACACTTTTTTCCAGACTTGCAAAGAAATTCAATTATCTTTCCTCAAACCTTGAAAGAGAATAGATTTCAGTCGAATGTTGGAGCTAGGGATGGGCAGGATGCCTTTAGGCTTAGTAATAGGATACCTCTAGGTCACTAGGTTTAAATGGAGTGTTAAGTGAACATCAAGCTTCTACTTGGCAGCTCTACTCTCAGTTCACAAACGGATGCAGTGCTGTATTTTTGGTGTTTTCTGTGGTAGAAGAGTCGCCAGATTACCCTCCTGTAAAAATATATAGGATATCTTGAGTCTTAACTATTACTCCTAATTTGGACTCAACTCTTTTTCATTTTGGAAAACATTTTAAAATTTCTTGAACCGGCTTATAGCTTATTAAAGAGTTTGGGGGTGTTTGAGCTTCTTGTGTTAGGAAAAAAATAGCTGATAACTATCTTGTCAGAATCAAGCACTTCTTCTATTTATGTATATGTTAGTATATATATTTATTACAGGAAGCAAATATGGGCCTTTTGACTTTAGTACAAATTGTATTTATGTGTTAGTGGATTTCAAACTGAGCTGTATTAGCATTAATACTTGAACTGGAATGTAGGTTTGCTTCTTCGGGTTGGATTGTTTTGCTTTTTTAAAGGAGATAGGTAGTGTCCTGGCCAGAGTTTTAAGAAGAGTATTTAGCAATGTTAAGAGTACTGATCTCTGAAGGGAATCAAGAGACTGTCTTGGAACTCAGAATTTGTGGATTTGCTCTTTTTCCCTCCAAGGTAGTTGCAGAGCTAGGCTGAGTTCTGGAGAAGCCCAGGAAGGCTCTGAGCAGAGCTGGGCAGGGCAGTGTGTTCTGGCTGCGCTGTGGTTGAGCGCAAGGGCAGCAGCTGCTGTCAGCACAAGCTGTGCGTGGCTTGCCTTGGTTCGCTCTCGGCAATGAGGGACAGACTGAAGCAAATCCAGCAAGTCTTCACCTGCTCAGGCACATGAGCTCTTCTGGCTTTGCAGTTTCTCCTCTACAATACTTGCTCTGCCTTGCTGAAGTGGGCAGGGCTTGGGAAGCACTTGGACAATCACTGTTTTCATGGTACAGTGACCAAAACACAGTCGGGCTTTTGAAGATGTTACTAATTTACAACACCACAGATTTTACCAGTTTTTACACATAGTCCTATGTGCATAGTGCATAAATCTTTTCTGCCTTTAAGAGTTTTTGGCACTTTTTTTGTGGTCAGGAGCACACTAAACATTAAAAAAAAAAGGGTAAAATTTACCATAAGAAGTTAAACATTGAAGCTACTGAGCTACTTTCCAGAACTGATTTGAACAGTGTGTACTATGCACCTTCACTATGTTTTGTCTGTTTAAATTTTCACTTCAAGTTCTGGGGTTTGCAAACTGACTTGGCATCTTGCTTGCCTTCAAGGGCAAATAACTGTAATTTCAACACATGTTCCTATTGGTTCTTACCAATTCTATGTGAATGTCAGTTTCTTTTTCTCTTAAAAACATGATGATGCTGTTTGTCTTTGCAGCTGTGGAGGTACTGTTGGTGCAATTCTGACATGTCCACTGGAAGTTGTAAAAACACGACTGCAGTCCTCCTCTGTGACTCTGTACATCTCTGAAGTTCATCTCAACACTCTGAATGGTGCTGCCGTCAACCGAGTAACCAGAATTTCTCCTGGACCTCTCCACTGTCTGAAGTGAGTGTACCTGGCACAAGGGTTTGGGTTCATTTTGGGGAGGGAGGAGATCAAAATCTGTATAAAAGATTCAGACTTTTATGTCTGTCATGATGCTGCCAGGAGGTGACTTTCCATATTTTGCCTTTTAACTGCGTTTCTGATTCTTTGAATGTCCTTCATGCTTGAGTTTGCATGTTGAAGTAGCCAGAGCATGTGTACCTTTACAGCTCACATCTCCAAACTGCATCCCCAAAATTCACTAACACTTAAGTGCCAGACTCCCATTTTCATCCTGAAAAAACATTAGTATAAGACTTTTTCAAACTGTTTTGTGTCCAAATCATAGAAGTTATTGAATATGGAGGCAATTAAAATTAACTCAGTTTGTTAGTCTCTTTCAACTTTCAGCATCCACACAGTTTTTGCCTTTGATTATCTTCTGGTGTATGTGTGACTTGTAACATTCTTTTAGAGCTAGTAAGAAATAGCTAAGGCTGGCTTTTGCAGTGATCTGTGTTGTTTGTGTAGTGCCTCACTGAATGGGGGCTGCCTCTCATCTCCTTGTTTGCAGTGCTTGTGTAGTTCAGAAGCCAGCAGGAATGTTGTAAGGCTACAGTTAAACAGCTTGTATGGCCCATAGGAAGGGTTCACTTTTCCCTGGGGACTCAAGCTAGCCAGTTCAGCAGAGGGGGAGGTACCTTCAGTATTTGGGGATGAAGGGATATTTCCTACAGGAGAGAACTGCTGCTTCTTGCATTAGAAAGTTGGTTGAGTCTTGACAACTTCTATCTTCTGTTCTTAATTAATTAGTAATAAGTAGTTTGTAGAGAGCCCTTTCTGGTAGTTGAAGTGTAGAGTTTAAACTTAATCTGGTTAGGGTGTAGGATTTGCTTAAATGGATCTTATAACCAAATAGCTCCTTGAATGGAAGATCATTCTTTTCATGAAAGTTTGGGTTCAGAGCCTTTTTCATGGCTCCTTTTTCAGGGTTTGAGGAGTGAACCTGTTGGGAAAAGGTATGTGGAAAGGAAAGGCTTGGATTGTGACCAGCAAGGAGATCTGCTTGGCTTAGTGGCTTTTCTTGATGGAAGTAGAGGGCTTCAGCTTCTTTCTGAGTGTTTGGTTATGAATTTATTTTCTGTTTAGAAATGTATATTAATGAATAGCAGGTTGAATAGATGTGTTTTTGTAATGCTTCTCTGCTAGAAGCCTGCTATGCTTTAAATGCATCCACAAAACTGAAAATAGCTTTGTATTCCCAGGAAGCAAATCCAGACTGAGGTAGAGGTAGCTTATGATGAACTTCATTGGTAGGGTTTGTTTGTTTGTTAGGCTGTCTTTAACAATTGCCTTCTTACATGTCTTGTTTATCTGTAATACAAGAATGTATCTCTTCTGCTGCTTTTGTTCTTTGCTTAAATGTGTTTTCTTTCAGGTCATTATCAAAGGGCTGAGATGCAAAGCCTGGGTTTCAAGTTCTTTAAATACAGTAAATATGAAAAATCCCAGATGACATGGCAGTGGACTGTGATAATAAAAATACATATGTGCAGGGCATAATTACTCTTGGTTAAGGGACTAGGGCTGTTTATGGGGAAATAAAACTGTGTTCCTTTGTCACTGTCATGCCCTTACTGTCATTAGATATTTTTTTACTCATAGTTGCCAGGCTTTGGCTGTGTCATAGCAAATTTGGTGCAGTGCTCAAGACTCACATTACACAGTCTAAAAGCAGAGTGATTCAGGCAAATTATGTCAGAATTTCAGTGAACTGACTGCTGTAGAATCACTTCTGCATCTTAAGCATCAGTGGAGGTGACTTGAAAGGCATCTCTGTCAGGAAACAAACTCAAAAACAGGTGACTCTATTCGCTGGCAACAAAAGCAAATTATTTTTTCTTAAATATCTGTGTTGCATATCATATTACATTTTCTCATCATTCATGTTGCACAATTTAAACCTGAGGTCTTGTAATGGAAATTTCACCAGCCTCCCAGCTCAGGCTCTCCATCCATGTGACATAAGAAAGTCGGTTGAGGTTGTATGGAGCACTTATCCTACTCTTCCAACCAGGGATTTGCCCTTAATGACTTTCAATAAACAAATGCAGGCCCTGGCATCTGCTCTTTAGTGCAAAAAGTTTGTGTCTTATTCTCAGTGCACCTCTGGCACTCTTCCAGCTGGTGTCTGAATGCAAAAGAGCATCAGTAACTATCTCCAGTATAATCCTGTCTATTGCAACCGCTCTAACTCTTTGCTGCTCTGTCAAATTCTGGGACTGTAGATCCAAAAGAAGCAAATAGACCTGATAAACTTCATTCCTAAGTTTTGAAGACACTTAGATTCTTGCTGCTTTGAATACAGGTGTAGTTATATGTGCATATATACATGTGTAAGACATGATGTGGTTTAAGTGGATACAGATCCTGTTAATTAGGTTCAGCATTGCAAGGCATAAAAATGCTTTCATGATGACAGGTCCAAATAATTTGTATTTCCAAGGTGTCTTTGTGTGTTAAGTATTCCAGTTAACTGCTGTGGAGCAGCAGATGCTGCCCACATAGTGAAATGATAGCTGATTGTTATGGACAAAGAGCTGGGATGTTGCTAGACACATTAAATGTCTGTATTCCTAAATAGCAGTGGTAACTGCAGAACCACTGGTTTATTTTTGCTTAGTGGAAGCAAAGATAAACTTTGAGTTTGACTTAGCAGCAGAGCAGTGGTGAATCAGCACCATTGAAATCAGGAAGTCAGAACAATCTCAGAATCTCCTTTAATGCTATAGATTGCTTTCACTTGTCTGTTCTAATAGTAAATTCCAAACAAAATTGCCATTTATACAAGGCTTTATTGAGTAATTGACTTGTTATTAACCTGCATGGCTCTTTAAAGAAGAAATGTCCAGAACTATTTGTGTGCATAGGCCAATATTTCTAAATCAGTAAGCACAGGGCTCTGTTTTGTAGCATCGGGGAATGTAGTTAATTCTTAACTTTAAATCTGGTTCTAAAGTAATTGCTAGAGCAATTTCCAGTAATGGGATGCAGGTAGTCCTTGTTTTTCTCCCACGTCCTACCATACTTTTTAAAATACTAATGTGATTACCATCTAGATTATGGGGCAGACTGATTTCACTAGAACTGAATTTTCATGCATAATCTTTTACTGTGCCAGGGTACTGTGCTGCATAGGTCTTCAGCTCTTCCAAAATTCCCCAACTATATGGGATCCATATTGCAAAACTAAAGGACTAATAATGCCTTATTTGAAGTCTCAACTTGCTGCTTGTACCATGCTTTCCTGTAAATTCCACAAATGTGCAAGGTTACACTCTGCTGCCACCCAAGCAGTCTTTCCTGAGCTGTGATTATAGTAGCCATGGCACAGGAGATGTAAGGACTCTACTGTGGCTTTGACTCTGCATGAGTCACACTCCTGTCTATTGTTACTATCAGTGAATTACCTTGCATGGCTAGGTAAGGATTGTCTTCCCTGGAATTAATCAAAAGCCAGAAAACCACTGGCTCCACAGCCCAGCAGCAGTGCTTGGTTAGGAGCACACAGGCAGCAGCTCAGAACTGATAGGAGGGAATCCCTGCCAGCCTCTAGGAAGGGTCACTTCTCACATTGAAGTTTTCAACTTTCTTTTGCTATGGTCAAAATAATCATCAGGTCTTAAAGAAAATAGCTAAGAATGGGCTTCTAGTTGAATATTTAGTGGATTTCAGCAATGTATGGGTATGAGAAAGGCAGGACAAATAGTAAAGCAGCCTTACAGATAAAAACTTCTGCCATGAAACTGCCCTGTTGGAGTCTTGTGGAATCACACTGGGGTAGCACACGCAGAGCCATGCTGAGGTCTCTCTTAGAAAGGAGGAGATAATAAATTGCCAAAGGTGTCCCTGGCTGGGTGTCGTAGGCAGAAGAGCAACATCTTCCAGAGTGGCTCTCAGACAGCAATGACTGAGTGAAACTGGGCTTCTGAAGTCTTTCTCCTCTTCTGCCTTTTGCTCCCTGGCCCTCTCACTCAAAAAGCTTACAAACACTGGGAGTTGAAGGGTGGTGAAAGGAGTGTAGTGTAGAATAAAGTATTTTGCTTTTGCCTCCTGAACCATCTACATGAATGGGAACATTTCCATGCTTAGTATTTTCTCCCTGATTCAAGGACACTTTCTTTAACTTCCTAACAGATAACTCTCTACAACTCTCTATGTGTTCCTGTATATAAGTTAAATTTGTATTAAGATCAAGTCTTACTTCTGAATTTTGTTTATGGTTTTCATAGTATGTTGAGCAATAATGTAATTTTTAATGCTAGGAATTCTAGGAAATTACTCATCTTTTTTGTGTGCCACACTGTATTACTGTCAGTTACTATGAAAGTTTTTCACATGATGTAATTTTGGTGGTTAGTGTACTCCTTAATTTTGCTCTGAGTGTTACAGTATTGTCTTCTTGTTTTCTAGGATGATCTTGCAAAATGAAGGCCCTCGTTCTCTGTTCAGAGGGCTGGGTCCTAATTTAGTTGGTGTTGCTCCTTCCAGGTAAATACAGACATGCACAATAAATGAAATACATTAAGAGCTTTAATGTGTACTTGAAACAAGTCTTGCTTCTGCAGTTGTAAATACTTAATTAGCAGCAAGTAACCTTTGGTTCCTGGCGTAACTTTTTGCCTGAGGAATTGAGACATTTATGTACACCAGAGGTATCTCAGCATTTCCTATCCTGTGTGCTCTTGTAATAGTATTTACTGTTGTGTGCTATTCCTTATGCAATGTTTTGTCCAGGTAAAAAGAAAAATTCTTAAGGAATTGCACATGTAAACTGCAAGTCTGGATCTTGGGTAATACAAAGATGGACTTAGCTTTCAGTTAATTCATCATTTCCAGGAGGCAATTATGTGACTGTAGCCTCAAAACACTGGATCTTCCTTCCTGAGTTCTGGTGAAGCGCAGCCTTGTGCTCCCTTGCAGAAGGAAGCCTGTTCTGAACTTTCAGAAAGGGTGAGACACTGGATAGGAGGAGAGACTTACCAGCTGTCCCAGAGAAAGCAGATCCAGCAGTGGACTGGGCTCCAAAGGGTACTGGGGCAGTGTAGGGCCGAGGATGTAAATGTGATCTAGTTGGCAGTGTTATTGCTGTTGTCTGTTGCTCTGCATCAGCACAAATACTCCAGCTCCTCAGCTGGTGCTAGCAGGCAGAGAGAAGAGCACTTTATGCCAGAGTTAGAATTTATCCTTACATAGAACTGTTAGCTGAAGTCCATTCCAAAAATAGGAGAATACATGGGAAGAGTATAGAAACAAAGCTGTGTAAAAGTAATAGATTCTTTAGGCCTGGATGAGAATACTCGAAGTTGTTTCCTGGTCCTTTTTTTTTTTTCCCCTTCTGTTTAAGAGCCTTTATGCAGAGGGAATATATTCCACAAAGGTTTTATTCTTTCCTTGACTTAATGCCCTGCTTTTGTTTATTTATTTTGTTTGAAAAGAAAATATTCCTGTCTCCTGCGCACTCAGTTGGAGATTTCTGGTTTGAGGTATTTGGATGTTTCTGAAAAACACTACTAAACTGAACTTTAGCTCTTATGAGGTAATGTTTTTTAGATCCTCTGCATAAATAAGAAAAAAAGTTAATGAAATAATTGTTATCTTTATTTTAGCAAATTTAAGGATTTAGGAACATCAGAGGTGCTTTCTGGTCACTGACTTAGCACTGCCCTTTGGAAAAGCTGAAGCAAACCTAGTAGCATTTGTTCTTGACACCTACAGGATATCAGGACTTCCTAGTCTGGGGAGCCTGTACTTTTGTACAATAGATCAGTCTGTTCTATCAAATATTCAATATTGATATAACTTTAATAGCAATTTTCACCCAGGAATGGGATCCATTGCATAAGTGACTATCTTCCATGAAGAATATCCTCAGCTGGAAAAACAAAATCTATTTCTTTTGAGTTAATTATATGTTAAATCTTCTGTTTCCCTTTGGTTCTTCCCCTAGGTGAAATACTTAGCTTGCTAAAATGTCTGCTTGATGTAGTGTGTAAACCTTATTTATAAGCACATCTTCATTTCCCTCTGGCTGATTCTGTCTTCAACCAGCACTTCATTTCAATTAAGCATTAGCTAAGTGGATTTAACATCAGCTCTTTGTTTAAATAAGCTGTAGAGAAGCATATTTCATAACACATCCAGTGTACTTAACTGAGTTCAGGTTCCATTTTAGAAATTAGACCCATAAAGCAAGCACTTTATCTTCTTTGTAATAAAGAAAAACATGTTCACACAGCTAATGAGGTTAATGTTCTACTTGGGAAAAGTGGCATGTTCCTTTTTTTCTCTTGCAGAGGGGTGTGCGTAGATTTAAAACAACTGAGTTAGAACCTGAAATGTGAGGTTTATATGTGCTTAAAATAAGATTTTTTGGCTTTAATGAGTGAAAACACCCATTTTTCATAATTTATTGAATTGGGTTGCTGACTTTGCCTAGCTTTGTTTGTATACCAGCTCCTGGACTCGTGTAGCACAAATTTACAGCATTTTTCATGTTGTGTTCAGAGACAAAAATCAGTGTCTATTATAAATATAGAATGCTGGAAAAAATGTGAATCACAGCTTCACAGCTGTTCTAGCATTTGAAGTGTAAATATTTATAACATCAAGTTATCAACATTTAAATCTTAAATGCTATAATAATAAAAATGTTGTTTGGTTTTTTGTTCTCTTCAAATTGTGCTGCTATTGAAATGAGTTTAGGTCCATTAGAGGAAGTTTGTTCTGTTATTAACTTTGAAGACTACTGAAACTTTTTCTGTGTTTTTCTTTCTTGGCTGAACTTCCTAGTGTCACAAAAATCACTTTTATATTTCAAAGTATCTGTCCTTACCCTCACTAATTGGTAATTGGAGCTGTTTTGTGGAAAAAACAAATTCAAGTGTCATGTTTAGAGTAATTTCCATTCCTTGAATAGTCCCACTACTTTGCAAGAGTTAATCCTTGGGCAGTTCTTTACTGAGGAAGGGAGTTTTAGCCCAAGATAATCTTCAGTCAGTGAAGTTAATGGTGCTGCTTGTTGAGAATTTTGAAATGTAAAACATAACATAACTTGAATTTTGTTCTAATTTTAGAGCAATATATTTTGCTGCTTACTCAAATTGCAAGGAAAAGTTGAACAATATTTTCAATCCAGATTCTACCCAGGTACACATGATTTCAGCTGGTGTGGCAGGTAAGGATCTGTAACTTTTTAGCTTCATCCTACAGTCATATCTGCAAATGAGAGGTGACAATAAATATGGAAAAAAAATGCCAACAAAACAGAACATGCTCAGTAATTGAATGATGTCTTTTTAGTGGTTATCTGCCTTGGTGTGTCATTAAACAGGCTCTCTGGAGAATATATGCATGAAACTGCACTAAGTGATAAATAACAGTGTGTGTGAACAGTCTTCTCTAGAAAGCCTGCATCCCTGCTTTTTCAGTTGTAAATTTGTGAAATGAAAAATGTAGCCTTCCAAAACACTAACTTACTTCTCTGTAAGCTATAAAGTGTTTGCACTGACTTCTGGTTTAATTCTTCTAAGCAGTTTTTTTTACCACCACTTTATGCTACAGCTTTGTATATTTTAATTATTTTTGTCTTTCAGAAATGTGCCTGCAGTTATTTGTGCAAATTATATGTAACAGTCCCTCCTCCTTTGTTCATATCCCAGTCTATGGAAAGTTTGCTCTGCCACTAAAGAGTCAGAAGAGCAGATTTCTCATAGTTCTCATGTATTTTCATCTCAATAAAAATAATTCCTATTTTATATCTGCAATGTAACTTCAGTGTATTTTAGCAGATACAAATATTTGTTGCTTGATTTGAATATTTCATGCTTTGGGATCATTAACAAGGGGGAGTTAAAGGCAACTGAGCGAAGTTATGGTCATGGACTTGTGCTGGAAAAATCAAAACTTGGATTAATAACACTTTATCTCTTGTTGCCTATGCCTTTCTGCACCAAAATAAATGTTCAGGTGTTTTTATAGGCCATGGACACTTTACAGATGAATTCTAACAATTTAATTGTTGAAGTTTCTACGACCTGTCAAATTTCACAGCTAGTCTGTAGAACATGAGTACTGGCAATCTGGAACGGACTGATAAAGGTGTGATGTCAGAATAAGGAATAGGATTTGTTTTCTGTTCAATGCTTGCTAATAATCTGATACATAGAGATTTTATATGGTGTATCAAATATACGTGACATTAGCTTTATACCTAAATGACACTAATATTCATCTCTGGCACATGAAATGTTATGACAGTTTTTAACCTTTAAGGTGTAAGAAGAGCTCTTTTATCTTGCCCAAGTCAGACAAGGACAATGCAGTGTTGGGTTTTTTTTTATCATCTAGAAGTGAGTGTTTTTGTTTGTAGGTGAACAGCAAGGGGATTGGGATGGAAGGGGACTTAATGAAGAGTTCATCCTAATCAGTTAATTGCATCAAGAAAGATTAAGAGTCTTCAGGTCCTTGTCAAAGGAATAAAACATGTCCTTAAATTGGAGGCAGGGGGAAGTGTGGACAATATAAACAAGTCTGTCCTCAATTGAAGGCAACTTGTGCATCTCATGAAGTGCTGCAGACAAATGAATATTCTGAGTCTTTGGAAGTTCCTGCCCTCATTCTGTAGAGCACATTTATGGAGATGTGCTGTAGTGCTTTTTCCTGGGTGTGTGCAGCCTCAGGCTGTAGTTTGTCATGGAGCTCTGTAGCTGCTTCCCCTCCAGAAGGTTGGTGTTGTGCATTTGTACATACAGCTGTAGTAGACTGGGGAAATGGATTTGAGCCTCAATTGCTATTTGCTTTTTTATTTACTTCTGTCTACAAGTTCTAACATTGAACAACTCTTGGGGCTGTTAAGTTTCTCATACTTCCAAGGTTCTGCAGTTGTATTCTAAACCACAGTCAGTAAAACAGAATGCTCAGTGCAGGCTCACACCATAGGTTTTGGCACTGCACAGTAAAAGAAGTTCTCAGGATCTTTGAACAACATAACAATTCTCTCTTCTGGTGTTATTCTGATATATGAAAAGGACTCTGCAGTTAAAGTTAACAGTGCTTTCTTGGGAATGTGCTAACTTTTTGTAATTCTAATATATTTCAGAAAATGCACTTAAACCAGCTATTAACAGTTTTACCTGCAAGGTTTGTATTGCTGTATGATGAAAATTACCTTAAAGAAATGGCAAAATAACAGGGGCAAGATCAAATTGTTCTTACTTGGTTGACAGGTTAATACAGAAGATCATTACCATGTTTACTTTGGAACCTAAGATTTCAAAATTGGCAAGGTGGATAAATACTTCAGAATTAGCATAAAATAATCAGTATTGGTGTTTTTCTTTTTCAGCTGCCATTGGTTTCAGTAAGGAATTGAATAATTCAGTCTTAAATGAGGGTTGTTGTTTTGTTGGTGGTTTTTTGTGGGTTGGTATTTTTTGGATATGACCTTTCTGTTCCATAAAGTCAAATACCTAATTAGCATGAAGTGGGATTTGCACTTACAAAGCTTTTCCTGTGGGTTGCAAGATACAGTAATGATGCAAAAATACATTTTTAAGCAGAATAATTGTAATGTTGTTTTATTAAAGTACTCCAAATAGTGAACTACAGTCAACTTTAAATTCTATTTATTTGTATAATGTGCTAATACATGTCTCAGGCTAGACTGATGTCATTATTAAATAAGGATGGTTTTATGCACTTGGTGGTTTTGGGAGTGAAAAGCTGAGATATAGTATTTTAAGCATTTTTTTTGTTGTTGGTTGGTTTTAGGCCCGATTCTTCATTCTCAAAATATATATTTATGGTTTTAAGATTCTTCTACTAAGTTTGTTTTATTCTAAGGAGAGTGAAGTATCTATATATTAGTAACTGATGCCTTATGCAAACAGAAATGAATGCTGTCTTCTTGCTGTGCTAGTTTCCAGCATATAGAGCACATCCCCTTCATACCTAAAATACCTGAGATGACATGAAGAAGTACTTAGCAATCCTTTTTGCTTACTCCTCGGCATAGTTGTGGTTCTCCTTTTGCAAACTAGACCAGGGAATGTATCTGAGCTTGGTACAACACTGTTTGCTTGTGTGAAGAGTTGATTTCTGGTTATTTCCAAGTTAGGCTAAATTCTCAGATTCACTATAAACTCTGCCTTCTCATTGCACTCAACCTCTCTCACCACAGAAAAAAAGCTGTAGAGAACAGGATGAGATACTAGATTCCTATGTGGCTTTCTTGTTTGCTTTTTTCAATGATTCACAGCCTCAATCAGACAATGTGGTTGCAAATCTACTGCAAAACTACTTTGCCTTGTATGCTGTTGCTGTTTTTTCTAGAATTTTACTGGCAAACCAATGCAAATGCAGAATTTTTAAAAATTATTATTTATTTATTTTAAAATAATTGGGACCACTTTATTACTTAGAGATACATCACTTTGTAAGTTTTTAGTGCTATGTACACAGTTAATTCATACCAAATAGAATGCATATTTAGTTCACTGATCTTAGAAGGTTGGATTTCATAAGGTATCTTTTCTGTCCCAAGACTAGGCTAGCTTTAATGAATAGTATTTTCAAGGGAGTGGAAAAGAAGGAGATTTCAATTGTAAATTTTCTATATTGGTAAGTATTTGGAGTTGTAAAATTAAATTGCTGCAAATGAGCAGAAATTTCAGTACTCAGTGCATTTTACACATCTATTTTAATATCTGTGGCCTGTTTTGATTATTTTTCTTTCTTTTTTTTCCTAAACTTTTACCTGCAAAGAGTTAGATTTCCCAATAACTAATTGACAAATCCTTCCGCTGGGATTCGATTTGTACACTTGTGTCTGATGAGGTCACTGCTTGTTGTTATGATACAGAAAAGCCTGTGTCTATTTTAGGCATTTACTGTACATTTCTCCCGTGAAAAGAGTGAGATCGTGTCATCTCATGCTCCCCCTCCGCAGGTCACTTCCTGCAGCAATATGGACTAACTTAAACCTCGTGAGTACTGAACTGAGCGTCTCTTGCAGCCTCTAGTGTAAGAACCACACGTGGGTTTGTGATATCTATTGAATAAACACCGTAAGGGGAAGACACTTCTAGCTTGAACTCAGATGATGTGCATTGTGCAAAGACGTCACTTTTCCTTAACTCTATTTAGAGTGATTTTTTTTTTTTTCTGTGCCATTCAGGGAAAGGTAGGAAATACCTTTCACTGAGAGCTGCTACTGTACTTAGCTCTGGTCAACTGAAAGCCCCTACTGGGTTAAACAAGGCATTTTGGGAGTTTTTTTTTCCCAGTGTTCCAGAGCTGCCTTTAAAATGCTGCAGCTGATATTCTGTGTTACATTTATTCAAAGACCTCTTTTCTTTTTCTTTTTTAATATGTGTATATAATCCTTTCTGTCTCTTTCTGTTTACTCTTTTGGTTTGTTTTTATTTTACTACTTTTAAATTTTAATTCATCATTCCATGTTCACATGCGTCTGTATCAATTACATTGGCTTATAGATTAAAAAGCACCAATCCTGTCCTTTGAAATATGATGCATAATAGGAATACCTGGGATCTTACCTGTCAGTAGCTGGGATAGCTGAAAAAATAGATTGAGATAATTCTGTCTGAAGCTGGGATACAATAAAATAAAACTAATGGAGTTTGTAGTATTGCCAGATTTATCTGTACTTGTCATGAATCTGGGGTCTTTCTTGAGGGTGCAACACATTGTACAGTATTATAAAGATCACTGAGGCTTTTAAAAAGAAAAAAGGAAACGATGGAGTTTCATGGCAGTTGTTGACAGCCCCCAAAGTTTGTTTTAACAAATATTTTTGCTACAGATTTTCTGTATTTAAAAATCAAAGTTTATAATTTCAAGTATCCTAAAAGGTATGTTTCATGATTTGGAGGGCTTTTCTTGGTGTCAGCACCAGTCAATTCATTTTTCTTCTTCACTAACTGCATTTGCTACATTAGCTGTAAGAATTGATCTGTAGTCACTCATCTGGAAACCTGAATTGTTGAAGGCCCTTTGATTTGAACTGTCAACTTAGACCTGTGACAGCCATGGGGAAAAATACTGGCCATGTTGCTGAGTGTCTGATCCTACTGTTGGAAGTGCTGCATTTAAATAATGCTTAGAGTGACCCCAGGAGTGCAGTTTGAGTAGAGTAGGGGCTGCATCCTCTGCCAACCACTTTTCACTGGAAATTTCCATATATACTCTTCCAGCCAGCATAGAAGTATCAGGCTGCTGCTATGGGTGGATACAGGCACTGTTGTCACTCAGCCACTGCCACTGATGGCACCTGTGCATTGCCTGGTCCAGACTGAGGATTTGCAGACAGCCTTATTTTGAGTTGAATATGAAGGAGAAAGGCTGTATGTTACAGTCTAAGAGTTAAAAAATTCCAAAATGTGCAACTTAAATAGGAATGCAAAAGGAATTTTGGTTTTGTTAACTTCTAATGAAGAAGTAGGAGAGACTTAAGAACTAATTTTGGTTTTTAGAGAAGTCTTTTTTGGAGGATATGTTGGTAAGGCAACTGATTTTTTTTTCCCCACCTTATTTCAAAGCTTTTGTTGCAGATCTCTGCATTTCCTAGTGCACTTCATGCCACAGAGATTCTGATTGGAAGTCAAACAAAATTAAAACTTTTAGTGCCAGTGAAAAGAAATAAAACCATACAAGAATGAAGTTTCCTTTCAGTGTAGTTGAACTTGGGCTCAAGCACTATTGGAATCATGGAATCACTGGAATTTCTGTGACATGAAGTGACAGGACAGACAGGTTATGGCTACATGAGCTACAGAGTGTGTTTGGCACACATGGTGTTATAAAAACATCTCATGCCTTGTTATGGCAGAGTAGTTCCCCAGTGCTTGGGTTTTTACATCATTATTTACCTCCATTAAATAGAGATATAGAACTCTTGCCTTGTTAGGATTTCACTCCATTATGTGAAGGTTATATAAGTACTGAGATATAGGAAAAATGAGTAGTGAATCAGAAAAAAAGAAAGCAAACTCCGAATCCTTATTATCTGCCAGAAGAAGTTGCCAAGTTAAGAAGTTTTAGTCAGTTTAAAAATCTGTTTAATCAGAAAATTGAACAGAAGCCTCCAATCTACTTTTATTCTTCTGGTGTAAGAAAATCAGCTCTATCTTAGTAGCTGCCAAATCAGATAATTTGTTTTTAGAACCTGAACTGAAAACTAATTACCTGTTTAAGCTTTGAGGATGGGCACAGATCAAACTGAGAACAGTTAAGATCCCCTGGCATTTCTGAGTATTGCAGACCTTTGTGTGCAATGTAAACCTAGCTTGTGATTGAACAGGAGTAACATGTCTGGAACCCGTTCTGCTAAATCCATTTCTGTGAGCTGTTAGTGATCTGATAAATGAGCTTATCAATAGCCTGTTGCTGGATAAGTACTGTGCCCAGCCATGCACTGAGCAAGGGAACTCTGTCCTTCCTCACACACCCAGTCCATCCCCTTGCAGGAGGGCAGTGTGTCTTTGTAGTTATAAACCAGCCATGTGTGTCACAGAGCAAGTGTCTAAATTTATCATCTCTTGCCTGGCCATGTTCCAGCTTTTCCCTTTTCCTATTCTCTCCTGCAGACATGACACCTCATTGATGGTGCATGTGTGGTATTACACCTTGAGATGATTTTTTTTTTTAATTTTACTTTTTCCAGAGCTGCCTTTCACTCTGCTTTCTCTCTCTCTCTCTCCACAGTTGTGCAGAAGTAAGAGTAATTCTTACTTCTTTGTTTTCTTTTTTCCCCTTTTTTATTTTCTGTTTCCTTTTTTCTTATTATTTTGTTTTCTTTAGTGGACTGAAAATCAAAGCTTTAACCCTTGGCCCTTATGCAAGCCTTTGTAGTTGCTGTCTGTCTGAATAGTTAGAAGTCATAGTATTTACTTTAACAATTTAAACACTCATATGCTTGTAAAAGTATTCCAAGGCCAGCCAACAATCTCTGCTTTGAATACTAAATAAAAGATTAGCACTCAAATGTAACTGCTCTTTATAGTTCATTATTAAAAGGTCTCTTAATTTGCAGTAATAAATGCCTTTTAACTGCACCAAAAGTAGTATTTATTCAGTCTGCATGCTTTTAAACTCGGATTGTATTTCAGGTAACAAAGTAAATTGAGGAAATGTTTTGTAGCATCTCAAATTGCTATTGCTGTCTCTGCAATGCATTCTTATTGACTTTCTTGCCCAATTGGCTGATGTTTGTCTAGTTGGCATTGCTGTTCTGTGGTGTCAAAACAGGGTTGGTATTAGGTAGAGAACTGTACTTAATTTGGCTTATTTTATATGGGGCATCTCTTGCTAAGACTCAAACTTATTCAGTATTAATGTAAAATTTAAAAACAAAGGAAGTGTTTATTGGCTCTATGGATTCACAAAATGGGGACTTGAGAAAAATCAGTATAGTCCGAGTTTTTGCATCCACTGTACCTTAACTGTGTGCATTTGGAACTTAGATGAATTTGTTCTTCTGGTATTATCACATCTAATTGTGTTATTTTTGCATTTTTTAGGCTTTACTGCGATCACAACAACTAATCCCATTTGGTTGGTAAAGACACGATTACAGCTTGATGCAAGGTAAAGTGACAATAGGAAACCTCACTGCTGTGATAACATTGTATTTGAGTGTTGTGAATCTGTTCTGCACTCTGAAATAGAATGAATTCTTAAACATTCAGCATTTCACATTTGCAAAGTTGATGCTGGTCTCTCTTCAAGTTATACTGTCACTTCTCTTTTTTTAAACTGTTCTGAGACATGCTTGAGGCACTGTAGTAGACTGACCAGAAAATTTGGAATGAAAGACAAGGTTAACAGTTTGCTTAAAATCATGCACTACCAACCATATGCTTGCATTTTCATTCAGCAATACATTCTCTTTAACTGTTGAGCAAAACATTCCTTAAATATGGATTCAGTATTATATAAAATGTTTAGAAAAAGGCTTTAAACATCCTCAGGTTTGGGTTTTTTGTGGCTTTTTTTTTTTTTTCATATACAATGAGTTCTAGCTTATATGAAAGAAAATACTTCTTTCATGGATAGAAACGGCTTGAATTGCTGTTTGGATAGAATAGATAGAATTGCCCTAATATGAGATAGCCAATAAATTGTTTGGACCTAGCATAGAATTGACTACAGAAATGGTTCGTTGTGAAACTTGTAATGAAAGTAGAGTTTTATGCAAATAGGAAGGAAGACCAACCTTTGTATACCCATCTGTTTAAACCTATAGGGAGAGAATGGTATGATGCCATGTGTCCATATAATTGCCATAACTCCTTAGAAGGTTGTCTGCTGTTTTATTCTGTGACTTGCTCACTCAGACCTCTGCTGGCACAATCCATGTGCTTGCACTTGCAGCTGTAATGAACCACATCTCGTGTGGTGTTGTCATGGGTTTGCATAGTTGTGTACAGTATTCTAACTACTTCAGGATGCACAACTCAATTCAGTGAGCAAGCTCAGAATGGGAATACAACTTCATTTGCCAAATACTGCTTGAAATAGGTATGTCTAATGAGCATTTTCCTTGACATCAGCAGTGGCTTAGTTCAATCAAGTAATAGCTCCCACTGTTGCACTGGTTGCTGTGCCAGTTGTTTGCCAAGAGCTGTAATGCTGAGGGCTGCTGTTTCAGCTCCTAGGCACTGAATGCTGTGGAGCTCTTTATTGAGGCAACAGTTAGGGCAAATCCACTATGCAAAAGGAAATGGTAATTTTTCTCATGAGTCAATGACATTGATAGTCCATTTGGGGGTCTGTTTCCAAGCAGATTAGTTCTTTATTTGCATGAGAGTTGGAGAGGCCTAAAGCTGCTCAACATTTGTTTGTGATACTTTTTCTTTAGTCACTGTGTGAAGTTTGCCTTGGATTCCATGTAATGCTTTATCTGTGTTTAGTGCTGAAGGCCTTTGAGACTGCCAAGTGACTTGGAGCCCCTCAGCACCAGTGTTGGGTATTTCATAAGTCTTCTCATTGCTACAAACCTGTTGAATTAATTTTCCAGTCTTGTTGGTTGCGCATGTTGATACTCTGACTTGTTTTCTCCTTTTTAGGAATCGTGGAGAAAAGCAAATGAGCGCTTTTGAGTGTGTCCGCAAAGTTTATCGCTTGGATGGCTTTAGAGGCTTTTACCGGGGAATGTCTGCATCCTACGCAGGCATATCTGAGACTGTTATTCACTTTGTCATTTATGAGAGTATTAAGAAAAAATTACTGGAGTATAAGACTGCTGCTGCCATGGACAATGAGGATGAATCAGCAAAAGAAGCATCGGACTTTGTTCGAATGATGATGGCTGCTGCCACTTCCAAAACATGTGCAACATCAATAGCATATCCCCATGGTAAGTGGGACATGTGCAGCTGAGACCCTGAGTCAGAACCTTCAAAGGGAATCTTCTCAGTCAGATTTGTAGCCAACTTTGGTTTGCTTGGTCAAGAAGTATTTCCCTGTCTGAATATCAGATTTAGCAGGTCAACATGAGTATAGTATTCAGAAATGCAAGTGCTTTACAATGGATATCCAGCATGACCTTTTCTTAGACAATGTTTATTTTGCCAAGGGATAGGCCAGGGTATAGCCCAAGCTACTCAAAGAGAGTTTCAGATGGAATTTTTCCATATACTTGGCAATTTTCCATGTGCCAGCAAGTTCTCATCTCCCTTCTAGGACTGCAGGCTACCTAGTTTGTGTGTCAGTTGCACTTGATCTTCCTGCAAAGTAGTTTTGCACACATAGTGTGTTAATGAACTGAGTACTGAACTAATGTCAACTTCTGAGGTAACACAAGCCTAAGCAGCAGTCCTCTTCTGGATTGCAGCTAAGCAAATGAACTTGCCTAGTTTAGTCAAATATCTAATACTTGCTCTCTTACACATGCTTGATTTGCCACTCTGTTTGTCTTCCTCCTCCTATTTTTTTTCAAGAGGAGTTGCGAGATTGAGAACTTGCAGGGGGCTGGTTTTGTGTAAAAATCCCTGATCAGGTGCTGGGAAAAATAATGAAAAGTGGTGAATGTACCCACTCAATTTTTCTTTTCCCACTGGCTTTCTTTGTACAGAGGTTGTACGAACAAGACTAAGAGAAGAGGGAACAAAATACAGATCTTTCTTCCAGACACTCTCTTTGCTTGTGCGAGAGGAAGGGTATGGCTCCCTTTACCGAGGTTTAACTACACACCTGATCAGACAGATTCCAAACACGGCTATCATGATGTCCACCTATGAAGTTGTAGTCTACTTACTTGATGGATAGCAGTGTGACAAGGTGCAAGAAGGTGGAAGACTGAAAGACTGGAGTGGACCACTGAATGTCAATGCCAATGTGGTGGGCTACAGGAGCGTTGTATGAGGAACAAGCAGCTGTGGACAAAACAGGAGGTTGATTGTGGGCAACTCTGAATAATTTTGCTGCCTTTATTTTGTGGTCTCATGTCAATGTGACAAATGGGAACTGCCTCTTAGGGAATGCCTTCATGCATCTCTTAATTCAGAATTATTCTTTTCTTTTCATCTGTTAGACTAGACAAAGCCATTGAGTCATCTTCAGAGACCTGATGGGTGAGGGAGGGGACATGAAATATGTTCCTGGGCAGTCCTATTACCTTCTCTTAGTGATTGCTCTCAACTACATAATTTTTGTTCGGTTTTACTGCACAGTAACCTGTTGAAGGAATGGCAAGACAGTACTTTTATAGCTTTCTATACCTGACACTTCCATTTAGTTGCTCTGAAGATTCATAAAGAGACTGAGGTAGTGTGGTAAGTGTGTAAAGTTTATCATGTTGCTACCTCAAGACAAAATATGGTGCAGGGACCCAGAACAGTTATTTCTTCACTACAAAAGGTGATACCCATTGTAGCTTTTTGGTTTTGATTGTTCTTTTTTTTTTTTTTTTTTTTTTTTTTTNTTTTTTCTTGATGTTTGAGCAGGTCTGATTGTCTAACTCTTCAGGTTATCAGTCTGTTAATGCTGGTGCATGTGGACTTCTGGTCCTGCTGCATCATGCTTTTTCTTTCCTGGAACTTTTCCTAAGTAAGAGAGGCCTATGAAACATTGGTCCTGTATCATCAGTTTTCCTTGCCAACATGGTCAGGTCACTCACACTGCTAAGGAAGTTGCTGAATGCCACTTTATAGCCCTTTTAAGGATTTGTAATGTGATGAGAAATCTCAGCTAGTCCAGCTTCCCATTTGTGAAGACAGGATTCACTCAGTTTCATGCTGCCTAAGCACAAGCTAATACAGCCCTTAAATATCTGGCAAATCCTTGGATTGCCAGTGTTTATATGGGAGTGCTGGAGGAGAGCACGTATCACTGTGGCTGGGGTGACCAGAAACCAGTTGAAGTTGCGATAGATCTTGTCAGTGCAGACAGGCTCTGTGCAAAATGATGGAGAAATTGTAAATAACATTTTCTTGAAAGCATTCCCCCAATGAATGCTGTATCACTTCTGTCAGCTTGAGCCTGCATACTGAGCTATAACCTTGTCCTCCACATTGTCTGATTATTCAGGCATTGGTTTTGTTCTGTAAGCCAATTGCAATATAATGCCTTGCATTCAGCAGTGAGGCTTAGCTGGCTTATTCTGTCATAATTTACAGACTTTTCCAAAATCATACAACTGGAGTGTCAAGCAGTTTAATGTTACAGGAAGTTTTACAGCTTTCCAACAAGTATCTTCTCAGTCTGCATCCATTATCCTTATGAGGAAGATGATCATTTACAAGTTGGGGTCAATAGCTTTCTCCATATAAATGCTGCTACACTGGCATGGACAGAACTGTGCTCTCAGCTCTTCCAGTGTGGTACTTCAGTACACTTGAACTGTGCATCATGTGCAATGGCTTTATTTTATGAATGACTTCTTATGCACTTTGTGGCCTTCTTAGGGCATATGAATTTTCTTCCTCTTACTGATTATCTGGAATCAAACAGTGTTTGAAATATGCAGTTTGGTTTTAAAAAAGCATGTGGTTTGATTTCTGTGTAAGCTGTGCAGGAATTTATGCTGTAAATCCATAGCATCTCTGGCAGTTGTTCTGCAGGCTCTATGTAAAACCTCAAAGCTTGTAGAACAGTCTGTCTGGGTTTTTCTTATTTGCTTTCCTTTCTTTTGACCTTTGTTGTTTTCCATACAGTGTCAAAGTATTTGAGTATTTCATGTAATTCTCTGTATTAATTGCTCATCTTCTGAAAGCCACCCATAGTAAATACATTGACCTCGCAGTGCTGTATTGACTTCCCTGCTTGGAAAATGTTCCCTTGTTAAAGACAGCATGGTCTGAGGGGTGACCATGGTGAACTTGATTGTCTCAAAGTGAAAGGAATGCTTAAATGTGTTTTAAAGTGGGCTTTTTCTAGTGATCACTCTAAGAAAAGACTGAAGTATTTATGACTGACCTAAGCTTTGATGTGATGCTTTTGTTCAGATAAATACATGCAGGAATAGTGATGTACTGTAATTTTTGTGATGTGGAAGGTGGGTCACTCCTCACATTATCTAGATTACTCAGTCATAGCCAAAACTTAAATTGGCAAAGACCATACTCAGTTTTGGAGTTCGTGAATACCTGGAGTAGCCCAGGCTTCATGGGAGTTTCTCTCCTCTGAATACACTGTCCCTTGGTTCTGTGTTTGTCTCCCAGTCCTGGGTATTTCCTGGAATTCCCTGGGTACTGTGTGTGTGCCTTCTCTGGGTAAGAGCAAAGCCCCTGGAGGTGATAAGTAGGACAATTTAACAAGGACAGTTGAATATGGGAGATAACAGCTAAAAGCAGACAATCAGCTTATTACTCCACCTCTTCAAAGCGTGTTCCAGTTTTTTTTAAACTTTAGGGGTGATTGTTTTGGCTTCTTTTGCATAACCAAACATAACCCAAATATTTTTGGAGATTTTTCATTATTTTTAAACTACAAGTACCTGCAAAATTACCTCTGATATATTTCCCAAAGATCTTTAAATTATTTATGTAGTTTTCTTGCTATTTATTATAAAAACTCAAGGGAAATAACAAGATGCTTCATTCAATAATACCTTTAACTACAGAGCTGAAAGCAGGGCATTTAACCTTGGTCATCTTGATTTGTATTAGGATGTATTTATGTCCCAGCTGTGTGTGCTAGACAGGACGTGTGAAGAGCTCCCGAGTCACGGATCCGTTCCTCGTGTCCCTGGCTGTTCGCAGCCGGGGCTGCAGGTGCGCGGCGGGGCCGGCAGGCGGCACCAGGGAGCTGCGGAGTTCTGGGAGCTGTAGGTGTGCCCGAGACATCCACCGCCTGTCCGCTTACCCATCTCTGCCCCTGCCTCTGTTTACATAACGCACTCCGCATCTTCCCTTGCTGATTGAGGTGTTAATGACAGCGGATCGTTTGGTTGTTAATGACAGTTTCTGCCAGTCTGTTTTTCTTACCACATTTGCAACATTCCTCAGACTGCAGCATTGTAAAAGAATGCTTCCAGAGACAAGAGTGGAGAGCCCTTATAAATGTTGCTTCCTGTTTAAACTGTTCAGATTTGGAAAACAAGCTGAATGCTGAAGTGTGCCTAGGTAAATGTACTACTTTTTTCAACTTTGTCTGTTAAGACTGAGTTATGTAAGTTTTTTCAGTTCTTATATTTAAAAGTCTGCCTACCCTGCATATGTGAAAATAACTATGCCCTCAGAGTCATAGCTAAACACTCACAGATGACAGATTGAGAATACTTCAGTACTCATGTGAGGTTTGCTATTATTCTTGCATACATGTAGTTGGCTGTAAACTATGTGCATTTACTCTGTATTTATATAGTTAACTTTTTGTTTGGATTGCTTTAAACTTCAAAGCAAATTAAAATTGTGCTTCTATTCAAATGTTGCCTGCTGTGCTAAACTGTACACTGTTTTTAACCTTTGATTTTTTCTATTATTGATACATACCAGTGCCTGCACAGTTGTGATTAAAAATGAAAAATTCATTAACCCAGTAAATCATTTTATCTTGTACCATTTTATAGTAGCTGAAAATAAGGTGTGCTTTGTACCTTTTAGTGTGGTCTTCTTGGATGGATTTATGGCTGACTGAAGCAGTATGTGTTGGTGCAGTTGGATTTGAACAGTTACCTCTACAGAACCAAGCAACCCTGTCAACTGAGATTCAGGAGCTGGTGACCACAAAACTCGTGTCCATTTGAAGTGCCATCTAGCACAAGCCACTGCTGACAAAACTGAAGGGCAGTAATTCCTTAAAATGCTCAGAGTTAATTGCATGTGAGGTTATAACCAAGTCCTTGAACCCGACACACTCTTAGATTTTGATATTGTTTTTCTTAAAATAGTTGATGTTTGAGCTGAAGTCTGTCCTGAGCTTCCTCACAAACCATTCTGCAAATGCATACATGGGGTTTGTTTGGTGAGTGCTGTTTTTCCCCCTCAATGTGTGTTCTGAAACCAAGTCTTTGCAGCCTCTAATACAGAGGCAAGCTCAATGTCTCTGATGTGATTCTTTCAGCCATTCAAAACTACTTCAAAACTTGTATTAAATCAGCACATCTGTGATAGCTTTTTTTTTCAGTAGGTGTTGCTGTGAATTGCCCTACCTTGCCACACTTTCTAGCTTCCAGGCCAGCCAGGCTTAGAGGTAATCAACCTGCTGGAACCAGTACAGGCAACCAGTGTTCTTATCCCTGACACATCTGAAATTATGCCTCTAACTGGCATAGCTGTAATTGTCTCTAACTGATCTTTCACTTTTACCCTGCAAAGGAGGCACTTTGGCGGGGCAGAGCTCAGGGTAAGTCTGTGGGGATATTTTGAAGTTCATGCTGCTTTACAATCCCTTATGCTAGAGGGCTTATGTTGAGCTTGCCATGGTCAAAAAGGTTGTGTGTAAAATGAAGGTGTATTTAAAGTGCTAATTGGTCATGACTTGGCATTAATGCAGCAGTGCAGTCTGACAGAGATGCAGCCAAAAAGCACGTGAGGCTTGACAGTGATGTCTTTCACAAAGGAAAGCCCTTATATTTGATAATGCACTTGCACTACAATAAAATGTACTTCCAAAGACACTCCCCTCATCTTGTGAGTGCTGCTGCCAGCCACTGTGCTCTGTGCTGACTCAGAACATCCTTATCTTCTTGCACAGCTTCTGTAAAAGGCGGGAAATGCCAGGACTGGAATCCAGTTTTCATGAGCAAATTGATGCAAAAACAAAACAAACAAAGTCTTGAACTGTGAAAGGTGGATTGGAGCACAGGATCTTCTATTTGTGCAGATGGAATATTTCAAGGGGTGCTCCTATGACTGGACTCACTGCTGCAGACACCTCAGTGATGAGGTTTTGTGAAGTTGACTGGAAGTTTCCCAAGACAAGCTCAAGATGGTGAAATGCTAGTAATTCCAGGTAAACCTCTACAAAGGCAATGTTTCCTCCATTATCTGTGGCTGTTTGAAGGTTGGTAGCTTTTCCTAATCCTGCTCTGTAGCACACACTGGGGATGGAACTAAGGATGTGCACGTTGGAATTGTCTGGAATGCAACCAAAATGCAAAAGCAGTCTGTTTTGAGACTTGGTCATTCCCCCAAACTTCTAAAATGCAATGTGAAATTGAGGCAGCAAATACTTTAATGTAGGAGTGTCACCTTGTAATTAGAAACTTGATAACATAGAACCAGTATTTTAAAGGGAAAACATTAAAATAGGAAAACTACAGACTCTTGTCTATAGCAGAGTTCTGGAGTACACTCCTCTTTTGCAAAGTATGTTACTGACATAAAAATAACTGGCCAGTAAGCAAGAATTGCTGATGTTAAAGCTGAGGATTGTTTGTGATCATCTGTGTTTCACGTGAAGTAAATGCAGGAGAGCCAATCTATATGGGGGTTTTGTGGAGCTATGGGATGTGGAGCCACAGAGGAAAGCTCTTGTTTATTCCTACATGGGTAAGGTCTTGGCTAAAAGAGCACGTGTGTTGTAACAGCCACTGCTGAATTGCTGGTGAATACTGCAAGTTCTTGATGGCCTCTGAAAGACACTGACAAAAACTGGTCTTGGCATTGTCAAAATCATTTAGTGTGGTCATTTTTTTTTTTTTTTTCCTCTGTGGATGTCTTCAAACAGTTAATCACTGTAACTGAATAATGTAAGTGATTACATTGCTGATCTGAATCTGTCCTGGTCCAGTGCTACATGATGCTTTTCTGGCAGCATTATATTTGTCAGTGTGTGAGGACTGACAGAATGATACTGTCATACACTGGGATGGTAGGGGAGAATACATGGATTTCATAGGGAATGTTTTGGGCTGGTTCATCCTGGTGCATTCCTGTTTGCATGTAGTGAGGGAGAGTTTCTGCAATGAGCAGGGCTTTGGGGTACTGACTGGGGGAAGTGTGTGAGCATTGTAAAGTTTTCAAGGGAACTTGGTGAGAAGCTGTCCTTGCCAAGTTACAGGCTGAGAATTTTGCTGGAAAGGATAAAAATCTGGAAGTTAGACACATCAGAGTTAGAGCAATAGAAAGCAATATCTTTGCCATAACAAGAAGAAACAGGTAAAACTGGAGTGGAAGAAGTGAGTAGGTAATGTGATTGGGCTTGGCTTTATTAACGTTTTTGTCATTTTGGGTTAGATGTGTAGCAATATTTTTAAATGGGAAAGGTGTCCCCTGTGTCAGCAGTTCTCACCCAAAGGAAAAAAAGCTCTTTAAGTACAACTTTGCAGAATTTTTATCCCAGTTTAGCTGTGCTAGATTATTCTGTTGAGAAGGTAATATTATGGATGTTTTTTAGGGCTACATCAGAGACTCTGCTGTTTCTAGCTCCTCAAGGCCTCCACAAGAATTGCAGCAGAAATGTTTCTGGGAACTCAGGTCACCTCCCTCTAAAGAGAAAAGGCCAGTTCTCCTAGGACTGTTCAATATTCTCTTGGGATAGACTTTGGCTAAAATGAGCACTGCACCAGCATGAGCCTTTTGGATCTGAATGCTGAAGGGAGAGCACATGTTGTGAGAGAAGGACCTCCTCAGTTTCTCTATTTATCCTTTGTATAGGAAAAGGAAGTGAATGCTGAAGACATAACTCTGCTCTTGCTCAGAAGGCCCAGTAATTGTGAATCTGTTCCCAGAAATGGGTCATCCTTCAAGGACTTCTGTGAGAAGTCACAATGGATTTCCTGAGGTATTCTCTTTCAGTCTATCCAGGAGTGAGGTCTGCCTGGGGAAGAGTTTCCCCCCTCATTCCCTGGAAATAGTTGAAGACAGATCTTGCTGTTAAGATTTTCACTGACCACAAATGCTACTTCCTGCAGAAAATTCTTAATTATGTGCAAATAACTTTTTTCCCACTGGCTGCCAAAGGCAGGCAAGCCAAGTTTGTTTCTAAGCTGGTAAATTTTCGTTATACTTCTCAGTTACTTTTATTGTCTTTTCTGGAGGTATTTGTTTCCATTCTGTCTCTTCTGGAATGTAGTTAGCAGCAAAAGTTTAGAGTTCTGTTACCCTGCACTACCACTGTAAATGTTTCTGGCCTTTGCAGTGACTTGCAAGTTGATTTGGGGAGCTCCAGCTATATTCATGCTGGATATGCTTACAGAATTGGAAATTTGCTATGAATTACTTGACAGAAGAATGATCTATTATTGCTGACACATTTTCCAGAGAGACTACTTGAGAGGAAATACTGAAAAATGGCAACCATTCAGTTCTGCTTGTAGGGTGGTCCAATATTATTCCCTAATTAATTCAGGCAACAAAGATTTAAAGTGCTTTCTTTGCAATATAAAAAAAAAAATTAAAAAAATCACAAAACCAATATAAAAAATATTGACCTTTCCCCACTAGGGAGGAAAATATCTGCCCTAGTCCCTAATTGTTACAAACCAAGGAGACCACTGCCAAAACTTTATAGCTGGGATGTAAATGGAATATTGCCTCTGGAGCAGGAGCAGCTCAGATCTGTTAAAACCACATATACATTTGGACACACATGGCTGAACCAGTTACAGCCAGCATTCCCCAAAGCTCAGGACAGCCAGAACTGAACTTTCTTCCCACCACCTTCTTTCCCAGTGTAAGAGACCGTTTCCTTATGGCAGGGCAGGGACACTGGAGTGGTCATCAAGTATGATGGGATATTTCTGTGGACAGCATTCTTGTAATTCGCAGGATCCAAGCTTTTCACTTGGGCTGTCTCTTACCTCGCCCTTCTCACCTTCCATGGAAAGATCAGCACTAAATTTGGGAGGGATGGGATTTTTAGAGATTGCAGATATGGAAAGGTACTGAAAGGTGAGTAAAAGCATGAGAATTCTGGCTTACCAGAGAAGAAAAAACTGTGTGACCATCCCCCTTCTTCCCTAATAGCAAATATCAAGCAAGATACATCTTTGTGAAACGTTGAGCTTTATTCAACCTGTTATTCAAATGGAGAGTTGGCAACATGTGGTGGCAGCATTTGCCATGCTTCCTATTCCTGAAGAGGAAATAAGATTCAGCACTGTAAATTTCTCCCTAAAGAAGGATTCAGGCAAAGAGACAGCATCTGGAGAAAAGGGGGAGTTTCAACAGCTGCTTCAAGTCCCTGGGATGAACAAGGCTCTGAACTGCATTCAGTGTTACACAGTACATAAATATTGCTCAGTTATATCCCATCTTTCCAGTTTGCTTTTTCTGAAAAAGGAGTGGAGGAGCTTTCCCAGCACTTGGTTTCTCCTCAGCCTCATCTCCACCAGCAGCTTGGAGGGGGAGATGGAACAAAGCTGCTGCAATCCCCAGGCTTATTATTGTACTCCTTCCCTCTTTGCTTGAGCTAGACCTAAAAGTAAGAGGGATAAAGGGTGACTTTAAACTGTTAACAAGGAACAAAAACTCCTCCTAATTTGACTCTGCACCTCTTTACTAGATGTGTAAGTTTGTGTTTTTCTTTCAGTTGTAGATTTTGATGATAAAAATGGAGAAAACATTATCTCACTAAGTACAGCAGTTTTTCCTCAAGA